TCTTCTCCTCCTCGTCTACACTTTCCCCTAGCTTTAGATACGCCACCTTCTTGGTCTCCACTTTTCCTTGCACCTCTCTATTCCACCACGGGTCTCCTTTGTGACCACCATAGTAGCCCTTCGAGATCCCTAATACCTCTCTAGCAGCTTCCTTAATGCACTGCACAGTCGTGGTCCACATAGCGCTTGCATCCCCACTACTTCTCCAAGCCCCCATAGTCAGCGGCTTAACCCCCAACTCCTGCGCTTTGGCTTCCGTCAAGGCTCCCCACTTGATCCTAGGTTGGCTATACACCGCCCTCTTCTTCCACTTCCTTGTGATCTCAAGGTCCATGACCAGGAGCCTATGAAGGGTCGTGAGGTTCTCACTTGGGATGACCTTCCAATCCGTGCAAAGACCTCTATCGGACTTCTTGCAGAGTATATAATCAATCTGGGTCTTGGCCACCGAACTTCGGAAGGTGGCAAAGTGTTCCACCTTCTTCGGAAAACTCGAGTTTGCTATCACCAAATCAAACGCTCTAGCAAAGTCCAGCAAAGAAGTTCCTCCTCTGTTTCTATCTCCAAAATCGAAGCCACCATGCACATCATCATACCCCCCAAACGTCGCTCTAATGTGGCCGTTGAAATCTCCTCCTATGAAAAGCTTCTCATTATGTGGTATACCACACACCATCTCATTCAAATCCTCCCAGAAACGCCTTTTGACTTCCTTATCCAAGCCTGCTTGGGGTGCTTACGCACTGATTATACTTTGTATAATGTGCTTTATGGTGTCGTATTCTTAGACGTGTTATTACACGTATCTCCATTTGCGTCCATGTCTAATTACCTTGTTGTTGCTACTGTCTGTTTATTGCTTCATTTTCACTTTTTTTGAGCCAGGGGTCTTTCAGAAACAACTCTCTACCGTGATAAAGTAGGGGTAAGGTCTACATACACTTTACCCTCCCCAGACCCCACTTGTGGGATTTCACTGGGTTTGTTGTTGATACAACTATATTTAGGATCTCTCCATGCATGAGTTGATTCAAGAAACATTCTAGGCAGCTGCATTACACCACGCAGATTGCGGATGCACCAACACTAAACACTAGGGTATTTCGATGTAGTTCCATTACAATTTACAGGAATAAATTTTAAGATTTAGTAAAAGGATTCAGTTCAATTGAGGTCAGCGTGCTATTTGTCCAGTTTCCAGTTTGAGACAGAGATGGAAGGTACGAAGCTCCGGCGAGATGTTTTAGCTGAAGGCAGTGTTAGTTCAGGAGGTGCTCCATCTGGCATTACTTCCATGCTATCTGGTCAAGAGGAGAAGTTTGCATTTCGACGAGCTGTAAGTGATTTTCATTGATATGCCTCTATTTTCTTATCCAGTTGATTCTCGGCCTCAGTTTCTTCAGCTGTCGGCCTCAATTAGGAGAAAGTTTATAGGGACAATTGTGAACATCTGATTGTTGAGGAAATAGAACTTGGAAAAAGTTTCTCACATTGCATGTCATGTCGGACAAAGCTCTTGGTCTTGGGTTTAATCATTAATCCTTCTGAAACTTCCTGGATTTCTGCTTATAAATTTCGTTCTAGTTGGATTTTCAGCCTTGGATACATCATTCATTTTACTTGTTCGAAAGGAAAAGAAATGCAGTTGATAACTAGCACTCCATAATGCTGGTTGCTTATTGGCATATGATTAGAGTACTACGTTTTTTTTTTTTTTTTTTAACTTTTCTTCTTTTCCTACTGATGATGAAAACTTTGCAACTGTGCTCTGAGGTGCTATTATTGCATCTCTTCATTGTCTACTGGGGATTCAAGCTATTATCCATTACAGTGTTACTATCATGGCCTGGTAATTGCTTGATCGTCTTATCAGAAAAAAACAGTAATTTGTTAGTAGCACAGGAGGTGAAGAGGGAAATTGGAAAAGAAAAGTGGAGGTCGTGAACTTTTGAGTTCACCAAGTCGGTAGGACTGCAGGAGCATTGGCGTATGCTACTTTATATTTTTTAAAACAGTGAAAATCTGTGTGGAATTCCCTTCTGAAAATGCACCTAACAAAGGACATTGCGATCTCTGAGAAATTGCCGCAACCATTTCACGAGTGAAGAAAGATATTACACTTTACATTGTCCAGACTCCCTTTGAGAAACAAACTAGCTCCCAACTCTTTAAATACCCCTCCAAACTCTGTTAACACCTCTCGATCTGAAAAGAGCACTCATCACCAGTTCAACCTTCTCTGTTATTCCTTATGATTTCAAACAGAGTAATAATGAAGGCTAGTGCTTGAAAGACATGATCTGAGAGTCTTGCGAGCCCTTTAGGAGAGTCCATTTGTCAAGCCTCTTGGAATTAAGGTTTTTCGAACCCCCTAGCAACTCTCTTGGTAGTCCTCTTCACCACATGGTCCCAAAAGTTATAGAACAAGGTTTACCCCTAAAGATACTTCGTATAAGGAAAAGGAAAATTGTGATACGACCAGCAATAGAACCTCATGACTTATGACTTTTATTGTGACCGTCTGGTTGGTTGGCAGCTTGACTGCTTTCTGATTGTTTTCGAGCCACAAACAACCTCAAAGACATTTGGAAGGGAAGAGGATTAGCGGAGCTCTTCGCATAAACAGAAAGAGAACAGTAGCATCAACAATAGAAACTTTGACTCAGATTTAAAACCAGCAACCTATTACTCTTCTCTGCCCGTGAAAGTGCTCCACTTGATGCATCCACCACCCAAATAAAAAAGAATGAGACAACTTAGGGGTGTGCATTATCGTGTTAACTGAAAGAACTGACCAAAACTGGAATTTTTCATTGTTTCCTGTTTACCATCTTTAGATGGTGGAAGTTCTTTAGGCATTTCCAAGTTGTAAATAACTCCATTGGCATCTCTGTTGATCTTTTTCATAGTTTAGCGTTCCTCTTCATCCTTTACATTTCAATAGTTTGAAAAAAAAGATGATACAACAGTTTACTGTTCCCAGTTTACCATATGAAATAGATAGGCCTAAATGGAGTCCAAAAAGTAAATAAAAGCTTACAACAGATCCAAAGTGAAAAAATAAATGCAAGATCCAAACTGAAAAAAAAAACTGAATTAATCACAGTTCAGTTTGGTTTGCGTGGTTACAAAGCATAAAATGGAAAAATTCAAACTAAAATAGCACAAATATAACCACCAAATGCAGGATTTTAGACAGCTTTACTGTTTATTAACAGTTTCTGATTTTTATCGTGTACGACACTGTCTGTTAATTGGTTTGCTTTTCTTCATACATGATGAGACATTTTGTTGAATGGAAGATTCTTTTTATGCAGGTGTCCCGCTTGATTGAGATGCAGACACCTTTATACCTTGAAGCAGTTCAGCATTTCCATCCCTATTTTGATTCTTCGCACAGAGAGTCTGAAACATTTAGTGCCAATTAAGGACGATGGCCTATGTGAAGAGGTGTATGTATAAGATCTTTGTTGACAATTCTTTTCCACCCTTCCAATTGTCTTGTTCCTAGTTCTCTTTTTGGGACAAGACAGGCTTTTCTAGGAGAAAAGAAGAGAAAATAAAGGAAGCTAAACATAGGATAATCCTGTGAGGTTTCTCATGATTAAAGAGGATGTATTAGACAAAATGGCTCTAGCTACCTTGTTTCAGATTGCAAACTTAATTTCTTGGTTAGCTAGATCAATAAGAAAGGAAATGTTTTGTCTTTTGGCATTTAGCCATCGATTCCAGTTCCTCCTCCTCTGCAGTATGAAGAGAAAGGAAATAAAAAACTTGAAAAATGAGAAGCCTTTTAAGCTTAGTGCTTTCAGTTTGCAGCATTTTCAAAGTTTGAAAGGTAATCTAACAAGGTGCTTGTTGTGGTCAGTTAAGTTTTGAGACATTACACATTTGTGTCTTCTCATTCTCCTCTGTGTGTATGTGTGTGTGTAAAGACTTCTCAATGGAAACGAGTTTTATAGTATCTTAAGTCGGATTAACTTTTCCGTATATTTGTGTGATTTTCTCTTTTCAGCTACTACAAGAAGTTGAGATGCTGAATTGGAGTGCGTGCGTGTGTGTGTGTGTGTATCATGGCATGTCTTTGAGGGCAAAGCTACCATGTTCATACTCTTAGCTTTCCTTTTCTTCCAATCCTGATAAGTATGAAGCCAAAAAAGAAAACAAATAGGAGTAAGACATTAAGAGGATATAAAGGATGCAATAGAAAAGATGACCTTAAGGATAGAAAGTAAAAGGGGTAGAATATTACCATATATATTCATGCGTTGATTTTTCTTTTCTGGAACATATGTTGATTTTGAAATTAGGAAAATTGAAAATTTCACCTTACTTTTTCTCAACAAGAAAGAAAAATAATTGGAGATTTTGGTGATATAGTGGAAGGGATGGCCAGTCAATAACTCACCACAACGCTATCTTTCATATAGGTGGGCATATTTAGCCTGTGAAATGTAACCTGTCCAACTCGTTATAATTTGAACTTGTCGGATTAGCAATATATTCAAGGGCGAGGATTAGCTTTCATTGGATAAGTTACGCAGTAGCCACTTCTTGACCTAAATTTAGATCAACATATCTTGACTCAAGCAAAGCTTTTAACAAGTTGATTCATGACCAATCCATTAAAGTCGATTTAAATCAAACTCAACTCGTCCATTTGACAACTTAATTCCTTCCTCATATCACATTCAGCTTCGTCGTTCCACAGCCCTTCATTCATAGCCTGTAACTAAGAACTGGCATTACACTAGGGGTCGTTTGAATAAATTTGTGACAGTTCTTTCAACAGGGATTCCCTTCCTAGCAACCTCGATTCATCCACCTAATGGTTAGACGCTTCTGCTTCTATATCCAGCCCCATAGAAACATGTACAGAACCAGTTTTAGAGATGTTGCATGCAACAGCTGATGAGCAGATACCTTTTTGGAAGAGAATTTCAGTATACTTGCACACCAAGCAGCACTGGGCAATTGTGACAATCAGTTGGATTATGTAATTACAGAATCATCAACCCACATATCCTTATTGTTCAATGATGATGTATCAGATGAAATTGATACTACATCACTTACAGTGAGGAGAGGAGTAAAGATTAATTTGCATCCAACACCGCCTTAGATAACCAAGTAAATAAAAGCAAACACATCGAACAAAATAAATGAATTTAAATTAAACCATCCTTTTCTTTTGAACAGATTAAGAAAGTCATAGTCAACAGACCGAATCAAACACCATAGATTCCAATAACAGTTTCCTCATCTCTTCTGAATCCCTGAAAGTAGTAGCTTGGCTTTAATCATCAGGAAAGAGAGCAGATGTAATAATCAGTTCTGCTCCTCATTGTCCCCATTTTGCTCTGCTTCTGCAGCCATTAACTCATCAAACTTCTCTGTCTTTCCGAGCACTATTTCAATCTGCACCAAACGAAGATGATAAATAAAACAAAAACCTTAGTTTGATCACAAGAGGATACCACAGAACAGACAAGGATTTAGTATGACATCGCTTTGGAGAGTATAAAGTAGAAGAACATGAAAGCCGTAAAAGCAGCATAACATACAATGTAATCCTGGCCAGATTTTATTTATCCATTCCTGAGTTGCCAAAGGAAATTATTTATTTTATTCCATAGCACTTAAAAATAGGACACAATTTCAAGGAGCAAAACCACCAAAAGCAAAGAACAAAAACAAAAAACAAAAAACAAAAAACAATTAAAAGGGAATGCACATCAACAGGCATGGGTGTAAGACTAACTTTCAATCAGGTCTAAGCTGACCAATTCGGAACAACACATGCAGAGTTTTTTGGGGAGAATCACTCATCGTGGGGCCTCTCTTGTGAGGTCAAATTATGATCAACAACTCAAATGTGACTCGACAAACACTTTGGCGAGCAAGGATGTAAACCATCACCTATCCTACCATCCTATTCTACAGCTTTTGCAAAATTCTGCACAATCCTGACTCAAAAGAGAGCAGAATGAAAGCACACACGTCTGTTGAATGCTTACTTTAAGCAAGGTCTATGCTATAACTCTTCAGGAAACAATCTTGATGCCCAAGCTAGTACTTAGCTAGAACCTCCAAAGAAGGAGGTCGATTACTTCAAAACCACCAAAAATGAAGCAGACAATGCATCAATTTTTTTTATGGGTATTCGTTATGCTTTTGGATTTTTACCTTTGCTTTTGGTATCGGTCTGGCTCCTGGTTCATCCCTCATGTCAATAGTGAGTGTCCTGATCTCTGCAGCAAGTGTACCCTCAAAGTTAGATGGCAAGAAAGATTATAAAAGGGACAAGAATGAAGCAGGAGAAGCCTCACTCTTCTCAACAGCAAATCCATTGTTCTTGAGAATTTCAGCAACGGTAACCACTGTTGAAATAGCTGCATGCATGTGGGAAAGATTGTTAATCCTTTGGAGAACTATACGGCAAGCCAATTCAACTATCAATGAGTTCTCAATATAATGCAAAAGGATGAGTCCACATAAAATATGAAAAGAACATCAAATTGAACTCTGCCACCACTCTGTATTTCTGCTTTATTAATAAGGTTTACCAGCAAGCACAAGAGCCGCTTCAAACATATTCTCGAACATGTTCTGCTTTTCCGCGAAAAGATCCTTGGGAAGCCACAGGAATAAGGTTTATGATCAATCAGAATTTATCCGGATACACTCAACTAACTTTCTAAATTTAAAAACAGAATGCTTTTTATGCCAGATGCTGGTTCAAAATTGTCTCACCAGCATATCACATCCCTGCTAAAGTGTGCAACACTGTGTATTATAATCTTGTTGTACACATAGAGGGTGACAATACGAAACCGAGTCCTCCTTGAAATGGCAAAACAGCATCACACAACGCCAGAATTGGAATTCACCAATCATAAAAGAAAATTCAATTGGGAAAACTAGCTGCAGAAAGTGAGAACGCCTCCCTAACCCAAGTATGAACTCATTTGTTTATGTTTGATTTTGGTGTATTATTGATGTGGAAAAAACAGCATAATACAATTCATGCAGCAGAAGACCCATATCACATCAATTATATGCACGAGGAAAACCACAACCAGTACTCAAAATTGAGGGCCTAGAAGATTTACCCATCCCAAGAGCAGAGAGTTCCACTTCATTGTACTGCTGCATGTACCTCTGCAAGCAAAATATCAAATATCTCAGAATACTAGCTCAGATCAATAGCAACAATGGTGGTACTGGTGTAAGACTAGGAAACTAGATATTGATATTCATAGAAAACCTTTTTCAATATTGTCTAATGCACATCATGAGCCCACTTGCATAAAAAAGCCTCAAACTATATTATAAGTCATGTGCGAACCCTCTAGTTGACACTGTATGCGCGATATTTTCAAATATACCTGTGAGGTACCTTTAGATAAGTAATATACCTATGAAGTACCTCAAGCGTAAGTCAGAAGTATCTATGCAGACCTTATGCGTATTCAATTCTCTTCCATTGCAATCGCTCTTGATTTTGTGAAGTCCTGGACCATTACAGCAGACAACTAGTACTTGAAGAACTACTTTCTTTACTTATTTTTTATTGTAGTAATTTCTTTACTTATGCTTCTCAAACAAAAAGGTTATTCATTTTTTCCCTCTGTAATACAGACGTAGCAATTTTTTTTCAACCATCCGAATCATCAACGAAATTAGTTTTATTTCAATTAAACCCAGGAAAATAGACCTTAGCCCACATAAATAATCAGACACATCAAATTAACAAAGACCCGTGTATTGTGCATTAATTTAAACTGATAATATTCTGCAAGTCTTCCAGTCCCACTATGAGCAATGTCATTTCTGACAGGATATAACTAATCCTTTCCATTCTCTCACAGATAAGAAATCTTTCAGATTTATAAAGGGACAAAGAAAGAAAGAGAGAGAAGCAAACAATATGCCCATTTGAGATCAGACTACTGTGGAAGCAGTATGCAAAGTTCAAGTCTTTTGTTTTACTCCTATCACGTAGCTCGTCAACAAACAACTCAACAACCTTAAGCAAATCTAGTTTCACATTGTGAATAACCCAAACAAGTGCATTATATCATAGATCAACCAGCATAATAAGCTCTTTAAACCCAAACCATGTAACAATTAAGATGGAAGGAATAACTTCTGAAGCTAAGATTTTTGTCAGTAGAGCTGTCTTCAAAGCAACATCTTTTCAGTAACAAAAGAATGCTCCATAACCAATTTCCAGCCAGACAAGTATCATAATTTTAAAACTAACCGAGTACATCGTAATAACAAATATGTGCAGACAATTTCCAACAGCTCACACCCACAAACACACACCTAGAAGAGGGTAAAGAGTTTTTACTCTATCACATTACTTTCATGTCAATTACATTGCATGGCTTTTGTAACATGGAAAAACAAGTAAATACATTTTTTTACACTATAACCAACCCAAGGAACTGTCTATAGTAAGAGCCTAATTGCTAAAAGACAGTATCAGTGTAAAAATAATTAACCTGCTACAACACGTCAAAATACAGTAATAGTGTTAAAATCGTTATATTTTTCAAAGTATACAATTTTAATACATATATGGGGAGAAAAAAGAGAGAACCTTGGAGAGGTTAACATAGAAAAAGAGGGATTTTTTGGTGTTAGAGACTTGGATCCTGTTCTTCTTTTGGGTTTCAGTTACACTTATGTTCTTCACTCCCTCTGTGATTCCTTCCATTGTTTTGCTGATTTCTTCTTCTTCTTCCGGAAAACCCTAATTTTCCCAGCCTCCTTTCTCTGTTCACTTTCCCTTTTGGAGAGGTTCCGTACAAATTGGGAAAATTATAACAACAGATAAACCCTCGGGTCATGCCCGGGTTCAAGCCAGGTGGTTTAAAAGGGTCGGCGCCTTAAATGATGACGTTTTATCTCTTTGGGGCTTTTCCTTCAAATGTATTATGTACCCCATTTTCTTTCGAGAATTATTCTTTATACCTCTTTAACCACCACCACAACAACAACACAGTAAAATATCACAAGTGGAGTCTAGGAAGGGTAGTGTCGCAAACTTTACCCTATTCCACAGGAATAGAAAAGTTATTTCCGATAGACCCCTGCTTAGGAAAACGAAAAGAGACAATAGATTAGTAACAACAATAGAAGCCAGGAAAATACTATCAGCATCATAAGAGCCAGAAAATAGATGAAAGCGTTCGAGTCACCAAAGAAGCAATAGCTCCAACAAAGGGGATTAGAGGAAAATCAAAGGGGAAGTGGAATAAGAAAAAACAAAAAAATGGCACAATACTATGAAAAACGAAAAAATAGTGTGAACACAACATTAATCACTAGTAGTGTAAGACAAAACGCTATTAGACTAGCCTCACACCCGGAATGAAGTAGGAAAATGCTCAACTACCTCCTAACCTTCAACCCTAATGCTCGAGCTCCACACCTTCCTATCAAGGGCCATGTCCTCGGAAATCTGAAGCCATGCCCGAACCATCTAAGCCTCGCTTTCCGCATATTGTCATCCATGGGAGCCACGATCACCTTCTCCCAAATATCTTCATTCCTAATATTATCTAACCTAGTGTGCCCAAACATCCATCTCAACATCCTCATTTATGCAACTTTTATATTTTGGATATGTGAATTTTTGACTGGCCAATACTCTACCCCATACAACATAGTCAGTCTAACCACTACTCTATAGAACTTACCTTCAAGTTTTGGTGGCACATTCTACATAGGACTTCAGATACTAACCTCCATTTCATCCACCCCACCTCTATACGGTCGGTGACATTCTTGTCGATCTCCTCATCCTCTGGATAACTGACCCAAACTACTTGAAACTTCCTCTCTTGGGGATGATTTCTGAGTCAAGCCTCACGTCCATTTCCGCTTCCCTCGTCAGGTCCCTTATTCTTCTTAGTCATAGTCAACTTGAAACCTTTAGACTCAAAGGTATGTCTCTAAACCCCGAGCCTCTTGTTAATGCCGCCTTGCGTATCATCAATCAGAACTATACTATACTTATACCACTTCGCAATGGAGAATTAGTTATTATGGAAAAATGGTATTTTTATTACGTGAAGCAAATCTTTTATAAGTACTGTTTAGGTGACAAAAATTCGAAATAGTCAAGTGATTAAGTTTTAACAGTTAAATATTTAAAGCCAAAAAATATTTTTCAAAACTACTACATAAGTGGATTTGGACATGCGTATTTTGTTACGTTGAATACTGTATTCGATAGAAAGAATTAAAATAAGATAGAAGTAGCATTAAATATTTTCAATTTCATCCATTTTGACTTTGTCACAATCTGCTTATTCTTCTTCAAGGGTGACTTTTACTTTAATTTGTGTGGATTTTTCTTATACGTAGAGAAATAGCTACCACTACATTTTTTCTTCCAATTGTTTAGCGAGTGGGTCGATTTTGTTAACTTAGGGTAACTTTTCTCACACTTTTATTGTAAGACTTCATTTTTTGTATAAACCTGTTGTTCCTAAAGAATGACTCGACTTAATTAGAGCAAAACACTTTGAAATTCTTTAAAAAGATTATCTTAAAATGGAGCAAGTGGAATACAAGTCATAATACGAAGAAACTATATATGGTTGGGCGATGGTTGATTGAGAGGATTGTTTGTGGTTCCCACACCGGCAGTAGAAGAGTAAGGTCAAACATTTAGGAGGAAATAAAAAGGGATTATAGAAGACTAATCAAACCACGCAGCCATGCAGTGAGCCCAAAGCGAACTATTCTTTCGCCTTTTACTAAAGAATACCGTGTGCGCATTGCAATTAGTGGCATACTCCAATTTTTTGGGGGGGGGGGGTGCTCTCTTTTTGAGTGCCCCAACAAATCTAGTTCAAAGTTCTTTTTAATTGGAAAAAAATGTAATTATTTTTGGTTTTTGAACATCTCAAAGGAGTTATGCATGGATTATGCTTTATATTTTTCTAAAGAAGGTTTCTGCTGTTTTGTCTACTTTTGTAAAATCACAGATCTTTTCCCGTAACAAACATGGCAAATATGTATTAGAGACTATACCTTGAAGGAAATTAGTCACAGGTGACCTTTGCTTGAGCAATTTGCCCAAAAATAAAATCAACCATACCATAAGAAAAAACAGAAGTCACTCTATTTCTCTTCACAACTCTCTATCTCCCCAGAAACTCTCTCTCTATTTTGTATTAATAACCTTTCTCTTCACCATGGAATCTCCACCGATTAAACCACCACTCCTACCGGAACCACCACCATGGAATCTCCACCGATTAAACCACCACTCCTACCGGAACCACCGGATAAACACATCCAAATGGAGATAGAGTTACCTCAACACTCCTACAAGGAAATGCTCCTGGATAAACAAGTGAGCAACCAAACCAACTACTACGACTTGGACAACCAACCAAGTCCAGAACTGGATAAAGAGAAACACATTGAAGGCTCAATTCCCCTCTCACAAGAAGATAAAGACCGTCTTTATCTACCATGGAGATACTCGTAATCATCAAAGTATTCAAAAGGAAGATGCCACACCACTTGCTTCGATCTAAGCTAAATGACCTATGGAAGCCATCCGAACAGTTAATCTTGATTGACCTAGGGTGGGACTTCTACATAGTAAAATTTAGCTTAGAGGAAAGCATGGTGAAGGCTCTACACCTAGGACCTTGGTTTATCTTTGGAAGCTTCCTATCTGTACGGAAATGGGAACCAAAATTTGTTCCTTAAGAAGCCACCCTCACCTCTACTGCCATTTGGATCCGACTACCCCAACTACCAACAGAATTCTACGACAAGGATATACTAGAAAAAGTTGGGAGGAAGCTAGGCAAACTCCTCAAGATAGACTAATGTACATCCTCTACCCTAAGGGGGAGATATGCACGCATATATATCCAAGTGCCACTGGAAACCCCAGTTGAAACAACAGTAATCATAGGAGACCACAAACAGGCTGTGATCTATGAAGGTGAAGGAACCCTATGTACCATGTGTGGCAGGATAGGGCACATTATTCTTAAATGCAACTATAAGTCACGTACATCCACAACATCCAATGAACCACAGGAAGCTCACCAAAAGGAACCAGTCCCAGAGGAAAGTGAATGGAAGATTGTCACCTTCCCACGAAGACGTAGACAGGGACAAACAAAAGCAATAAACAACAACGAAGGTAAAGTGCATAAACCACAGCATGTTCCACAGACGGAAGAGATACAGGTAAACATGTTTGACGCCAATTCGGGTAAATTCTTACAAACTCAAACTTTTCATTATAATTCAAAAAAACCAATAAACAGTACACAAAAAATCAAAAGGAGGCCAATTGGCCCAAACAATCTCCCCACTGGTGCACAAGATACGCCCGAAAGCGGGAAGTACACAAGCCCAAGAGAGTAGCCCAATACGGGGGCCAAACGAAAAGTGGGGCCAACAACTGATGACCCCACTAGTTCAAATCATAAGCCCAGTTCTCAATGGGCACCACTGACAGCCGAACTCCCCACCCAAACACCCAAACCTATGCTTTCCCTACCAAATCTACTGCAACATCCTCTAATGGAGAAATCCCAACAGCCACAAATGACAATCGAGTGCCCTATCTGCTACCCCTTCCGTCTCCAGACGAAAAGACCACAACCGTCACCTCCATTACATCCCCAATTAATGAACACTCAACCCCCTAGTCCCAATGCTCAGCATCCCTTCCACTGTCCAAGATGTGACACAAAAGGGGATAATGATGGGAAGACAGCCCATAAACTTCACTCCCATCGTTACCCAAAGTAGCAAACCAAAAAAGCACAAAAATGGCAAAAGAATTGCCACTGACCACCATCTCCTCCCATCCCCTACCACCGACCACCAACCGGGCTCCTGGTTGGAGGTTGCCTTGCAGGGGCAAGGCCTTTCCTAAGATTTCACCCTGGACAATCGTAGGGTGGCACTGATAGTGCAAAATCCAGTCCACCTAGCTAGGGTGACGGTGGAAGCTTTGAACAAGGCCTTGAAGGCGTTTGGTCCTCTCCTATGGCAGTCGATGGCCAACAGCGACAGCCCCTCACCAATCACATACCCCCAAGCACTCAACAACCACATCCTACAGAGCTTCCAATCACTCCCTTTCTTCCTAGATCTGATGAAAGAAGACCCAGCGGCAGACCCGATCTTCGTTCCGATCGACCTACCAACCCACTAATCATCTTCTGCTCCGAAGAAAAAGAGCAACTCACCACCCCTCCGGCACATCCAGAAAGGAATCTCCAAAGCATTGGAGATACTCAAGAAGAAGAATACCCCAAAAGAGCCGGAACAAACTTACCCAGCACCAAGGACGGACTCGCTACTCCTCGACTCGGTAAGATCAATAGAATTTAGCACGGAAGCAAGCGAGATAGTAGTGGTTCTGTGCCCTAAATCAATGTCCAAGTGTGGAATGAGCCTAGTCTCAGCCCAAACACACGGCCCATCGAAACCACTGCTAAACCTAACCCCAATCTTGAGTTTGAAGAGGAAGTCTCCACCTCCCCAACTGCCAGGTCTGCCTGGACCAATGAGCCCTCGAGAGGGACCTCACCAACTACCCACAATGCCAATGATGAACTACATCATATGGAATATTAGGGGTGGAAACAGTGCCGAGTTCAAACGGCACTGTTTAGAGATGGTAAGAATGCACAAGCCTGCAATGCTAGTATTGCTTGAAACCAAAATGGCAGACCATCAGTCTTTGGCCCAACAACTAGAGTTTGATATGATCATCCAGTCTCCAGCAGTAGGCACATCTGGCGGAATTATGTTTATGTGGAAGGAGGAGCTCGTGGCTGTGGAAGAAGTGGCAACTACCCCCCAAGGCATCCAC